CCAATGCACAGAGCATTTCGTCACAAAATAAATTTGGTTTGGCACATGATAATAAATAAATATATACAAACGACATAAATAGTGAATATACTTGTATGTATTCTGAAGAAGAGTGAGTTTGATTGATTTGTCAGATCGTCCAGTTGCACTGATGGCGAATGTATTTGTCTTTAAAGAATTAAAATGGTCCATGTTTGAATGTAGTAAAAGTCGATCTGTCTCGCTGTTCGCCCTGTCTCTTTGGTCCGAGTTTTAAACATCCCTGTCTTCATTGCTTTCAGAGTGGATTGACTTTTCAGTTCATCGCAGATCTCCGTGATTTGTGTGACAGGCAATTTAGTTACATTTCGGAGAAATGAAACCTTGCTGTTCAGTGAGTGTGCATTTCATTTGACTGCACTCTAGACTATCCATGTTTCATCGTAGTGATATCATTTTTATCTGTCGAAATGGTATGCAATTCCATGGCTTGTGTTTTTGAACACCAGTATCACATTTTCAATTAATTAAGATCGGAATAGGTAACACACTTGGTATCTATTCTGGGCTTTCCGTTAAACATATATTCAGATGAGATAGTGGGTGTAAACAGGTATCCATGTTTTTGTCCTAGATTTAAAGCAGTTTCATCTACATTTTCATGGTTTGTGGTATAGCTGTCTCTGTAACGTTGGTAACAAATGGTTTCCGCTGTATATTTAGTTCATCTATAAAAAGAAAATTGTATTTATTTTTCCCATTCGTAACTAAATACAACGAAATAAACTATACACAAAAGTAAAAAGCAATACATTCTCTTTAGATATCAATGTGAATGATTTGTGTTGGTTTTCTGTCGTGGCTATTGAGAGGTTTTGTGTTGGTTTTCTGTTGTGGTTATTGTGAGGTTTTGTGTTGGTGTTCTGTCGTGGTTATTGTGAGGTTTTGTGTTGGTTTACTGTCGTGGTTATTGTGAGGTTTTGTGTTGGTTTACTGTCGTGGTTATTGTGAGGTTTTGTGTTTGATTTACAGTCGTGGTTATTGTGAGGTTTTGTGTTGGTTTTCTGTCGTGGTTATTGTGAGGTTTTGTGTTGGTTTACTGTCGTGGTTATTGTGAGGTTTTGTGTTGGTTTACTGTCGTGGTTATTGTGAGGTTTTGTGTTTGATTTACAGTCGTGGTTATTGTGAGGTTTTGTGTTGGTTTTCTGTCGTGGTTATTGTGAGGTTTTGTGTTGGTTTTCTGTCGTGGTGATTGTTAGGTTTTGTGTTGGTTTTCTGTCGTGGTTATTGTTAGGTTTTGTGTTGGTTTTCTGTCGTGGTTATTGTGAGGTTTTGTGTTGGTTTTCTGTCGTGGTGATTGTGGGTTTTGTGTTGGTTTTCTGTCGTGGTTATTGTGAGGTTTTGTGTTGGTTTTCTGTCGTGGTTATTGTGAGGTTTTGTGTTGGTTTTCTGTCGTGGTGATTGTGAGGTTTTGTGTTGGTTTTCTGTCGTGGTTATTGTGAGGTTTTGTGTTGGTATTCTGTCGTGGTTATTGTGAGGTTTTGTGTTGGTTTTCTGTCGTGGTGATTGTGAGGTTTTGTGTTGGTTTTCTGTCGTGGTGATTGTGAGGTTTTGTGTTGGTTTTCTTTCGAGGTTATTGAGATGTTTGTGTTGGTTTTCTGTCGTGGTGATTGTGAGGTTTTGTGTTGGTTTTCTTTCGAGGTTATTGAGATGCTTTGTGTTGGTTTTCTGTCGTGGTCATTGAGATGTTTGTGTTCGTTTTCTGTCACGGTTACCGTAGTGGCCAAATAATGTTTTTTCTCCTTTTAAATATGCACAATTTCTCAATGTATCTCAACAGTTCTTTTTCACATTAAACAGCTTTATCAAGATTTTGTGTAGTCTTATTTGTATATATGTTTTTAGAAAAACCACATCAATGCCAGATTAGAAATTTGAATCCAGTTTACAGACCAAGACCACTACAAAGATTTAAACAAAAAAGCTATATACCTGCCTCTTCGAAGTGCCAATATCGTTATTTTGAAACAATACTCTTATTTGGATAGTCATTACTTAAATCACATGACAGTCAGGGGTAAGAAAGGTACACAAAGAAAAAAAAATCCAAATTAGAGCTCTATTTTAATCAATCTATCATACGGTAACAGTGAACCAATGTTTGTAGTTGATATAATGATATTAAAGTTCAGATTTGAATACTTGAATAAATGTACTTAACACCTGTTATTACTTATCTTCAGAAGAACATATAACCATTATACATGTTCAGATATACAATAGGTCTGTATGCACTCTGCGTTATATAATTATAAGTATGCAAGCTGAAATAAGTATTAAGTTTTATACAAGAAAGTATTTCAAAGCAAAATGTTTAATCACGTACGCCTCGTTGTATGCAGTCTGATTTAATCAATGGTTTGTTTGGTGTGTAACGAGACCTAGAGGACTTTGTATTGCGAATTATCATTGAAAACTACACCTTTCATTCCGATAAATAGGTCAGTAGAGTTAAATACTATATTCTCCTTTTTGTTGTTTTTTTCGTGTAGCTTTGACACAATCAAATGCTATCAATATCTTAAGAATGAAATGATTTACTTACAATTATTAACTTTGCCTTCGTTTCATAAAAAGAACAGTACGAACTCTATAAAAGAGTTGTAGGCCCCAAGTTCCAAATTTGGCAGTATTCTATTGCTTTTTATGTGTTCATTTGAACAACTTTTTCTTGGCAACCGCTAACAGGTACGCTTATTTTCATATATCCCTAAGAAATGACATTTATTCTTACATTTTATGTTTCATTTTCATTTTTAATTAAAGGCTATGTTTCTGAAAATAAATTTAATTTGTAGATAATTCATGGACTGTCAGTGTCAGATAAAATCCCCATAGATCCCCATCCACGTGACATGAAAGGATGTCTAGACAGCGAATGACATGAAGGTTCAGATTTATCAAATATGTTTGAATTGTAGGACATGAACACAAAAGAAAATATAAAGTAAAGGGTGATTTTGATAGAGTAAACAACGTAATCATTACTATTGACATTTCCTGAGTTCAGTTGAACGCCAATACATTTTGTAGCTTACAAATATGATTATGCAAAATGTTGTATGGGGCGCTTTCCAGTCGATGTGGTATCAAAAAGACTAGAATTTCAATCACTTCAATCAAAAGTTCCAAAGACGAGATATTTTAAAAAGCGGTTCATTTATTTTCTAAATCGCTATCGTATGGGATAATGTGACGTGGGCTTAGTATCTCTAACGTTATTCCAGGATATGTGGCCCAGTACAAATAGCGGATAAGCATCCTGCAAACTTTACCTCCAATAAATGTCATAACACATTTACCAACACACTGAAATATTCTACCTTCTTCCCATTATAACATAACATTTTTTATGACGGGATGTGTTTCTTGACAAAATAAGTCTTATGTATACGGATAAAGGTACGATACGGTATAACAGATTTCGTATCATGAATAAAAACGAAAAATTGATATGAAAAACTAGAACGAATAAACTTACTGTTATCCCAAAGTTTCCATTCTGAAGATTTCGGATTTTTCGGTCTGAAAGTAAATATCATCATTTTTTATGCAACAAAGAAATGTTTTGATTAAACCGGAGGGAGCATTTTTCTTCAACGTTTGTGTCAATCCGTTTCACATACATACCAATATGATAGTCAACGGATAAAAAAATGCTATTGCAGAGAAAAAAAGATAAAGTTCTAACTTAACAGATTACACTGTTATATCGCAATAAGATTTCTTTCACTCTTACGTTGAACTAACGAAAGAAATATCAGAGCTGAAGAGCAAGAATGTTCGTTATCTGTTTTACTTTCTACGAATTTGTTTTTGCCATGCCATTAATACTACTTAGATAACCATTGTCTGGTTACAACGAAGTGAAATTTCGATCAAATCATTCATATGAATAGGCATAAACAAAATGATTTAATCATACACACTTTTTGTGTCTTACGGGAGCGAAATCTATTGATTACTTACGTCACAACAACTCTGTTAGGTGATTTTTTTGGACATTTACACATCTGTTTGCAGTTTCTGTAAATAAATTTTAAAAAATCCACTGTCAAAAACATCAAGAAAATACTAACATGGCATCATAATCATAATCCAAACTCAAATTCCATCAAACTATGTCAAGATATGAACAAAAGAAAGATTTACATGGAGACTTCAGAAAAAGTTAAAGAAGAATGATACCAGGTGTTCCGGAAAAGTAAATGTATTATGAGCTCATATATGTACAAATCAATAGTTTTCAACCACACATACTTCTGATTGAACACAGGACAGTTCCGAGGATACACAGCAGGTGAACTATGCAACAGAACTATCATGTCGGATACCAGAGAGTGCTAATACCTAATGGTTTATCCGTTAACAGTATCAAATTCAATGCTTAGGTTTAACAGTGTTTCTGTAAGTCACAGCAAATTAATCACCCGTTGTATTAAATGGAATGGCAAGGAATAAAGCACTTCTTTCACTTATTTTCACACAAGCTCAGGCTAAAGCAGTTTGATGAACAGACATGGTTCAATTTCAACTGTTGTATGGCAATCAATATAAACGTGAGTAAATTTCAGTAACACCGATATCAAATGACTGGATGTATAACATATGTGTGATGAAATTACAATGTTTGATCCCCTTACCTATCAGCGTTTTATGAAAATCTATAGCTGTGAAATTCTGTGATAAACCCCATTTCACAGTGACGTCTTACAAACATATTTTGCATAACAAAACTCTTTTATTCTACACTAATCCGTGTGCAACATAGCTTGCACTCAATTTAAAACGCTAACTATTACCAAAATCTTCCACAAATAAGAAATCCCATCATGGAACAGAAATGTTGTATATTATTTCTTAAGCAAATATCGGTTATCATAATTAGCTTTAACAACTGATTATTTTAATGTGACATATCAAAAAAAAAAAACCAAAAAAACAAAGAAAAAAAAACAAACTCACGTTGGACATTTCAATCCCGAACAGCATCCTGCATTTCTCAGTAACATAAACAGCAAAACAAGAAGTCCAAGCAGCGCCAGCGTTGCCAAGGACGCGATGAGTGCAATGTTTTCAGCCGTCCAAAAGTCAGTTGGCGCCAAAGTTGTGGTTGTAGTGGTTGGCGTAGTCGTTGTCACATATCTGTATACAATATCAACATACGTAGTTCCAGTTCGTTGTGGGCTTCCATGGTCAACGGCTGTCACGTAAAAGCGATGTGTGGTACCATAGTCGAATGTCAGATCTGTAAGTAGTAAGATCTGGCCGTTTTTGGCGATTCTGTAATAGGATTCGCCAGTGGAGGATGTCCCTGTGTATTCTATTTCAGCATTGTTGCCGGAGTCTAGATCAGTCGCGCTTATAGTTTGAATGAGATCCCCAGGCCTGTGGTTTTGGTTTGCCTCCACCACAAGCCCTCCATAGGCGAAATCAGGAGCATTATCATTGATGTCATTGACATATATAGATACAGTGGCTGAGCCTGAAATATATAGTTACAATATTGTTGATAATATTTATATAACACCATTTTTTTCTTTTGATGTTTGCTTTGAAACAAGTGTTACACTCCGCTTAAACCGATAAATTAATTCTTTTCAAAATCTATGTTCAATCATGTGCTGTTTTATTGGTGCTATTCGAATGCCCAGATGATTCCACATATTTATTTTCCGGTCTGAATTATTCATTTAAAAAACACCACTCATCGTTTTGTCTTTTCTAAATCACATGGTTACTTTTTAATATAAATATGATCATTCAAAGTACTTTATTTTTCAATTTCAGCTCGCAGTATTACAGATATAGAAAAAAAGACTATTCCATTTTTTCTATTTCATTCTTAACATTAATATTTCAAACAATTTTACCCATACTTCCATTAAACCAAATGCTGTTTTCGGAATTAATATGCAGAGTGACTAATCCCTTCAGATCAAATATATGATGTTTTGAAAACAACACATGTAACGAAAAAAATATACACTGGTGAAGGTATTCAGTTAAACCTTAAAATGACTTACCTGTCAGAGCGAATGTATCGACACATTCAATGACAATCGAAGCGTTCTGTGGATGACTACCGGTATCGTAATCATAATTTACGGCAAACGTTATGATACCTGTAGCGGAGCCAATGGCAAACAAGTGTGCGTCTGTTCCGCTTCTGATGCTGTAGGTATGCGAATCTGGATCATCCGGATCAGTAATTAGAAATCCAAGATCTATTGTGCCGGACCCTATCTGAAATTCATAAGGCGGACATTGATGCATTTAATCAGCGAGATTAACAATGAATTAAATCATGCATATATGTATATGCATATGCGTAGATTTCCACCTTACAGGCTACTAGCACGATAAATGAAAAGCAATATAATATGTCCTTCCTTATTTGGCAATGCTTTATTTTATTATCAATCAAATGGATAATATTGATGTTTGATTTCATCACTGACAATATTTCTAAATCAAATATTCTTACCCCTCCTTCGTAAACAGAGGCTTCATAAAGTGTCTTGTCGAAAGAACAGCGTTCGCCAACCTCCAGGATTGTTATCCGTAGATAATATGGACCCGTCGTATGTATACTGTCCGTTACATAGAAATCAAGAGTGTATTCGGTCTGATCTTCATAGTTAAATCGCTTGGATGTACTTAATGACACCACGTCTGAAGTAGATATCAGATGTATAGAATAACTCTATTTCAATATATTGTATTACTCCGCCATTTAAAATATATACATGTAGAACGTTTAAGCTTTTTAAAATCAGAAATATTAACAGACCTTTATTCCAATTTGGATACCATGGGAATATTAAAACACTAATTATATTCATAAACTCGTAGAATCAGAAATTATTCGCCTGAGATGACTTTTTGCTGTTTTTCTAATACCTTTAAAATCAACATTTTTGGAGGTCGTTTGTATATGTATAAATAGAAAGAGTAAATTCGTATTTTCTATATATATAATTACGTTCAGGTCCTTCAGTGGACTCACTAACTTGTCCTAGAAGAACGAAACACCTGTAGGATGCAGTATAATTCATTGTTTGGCTCTACTTTATCTAACTCTGAATTATTAAAAGGTGCTATTCTCTTGTGTGTCTTTTTGTACATTTTTGTTGACATAGTACCAAATATTGCTGATCATGAAATACACAAATATAGTAATATTGTTAATATTAGTAATACTTGTATAACTCATGCCTACGAACAATTTACTAAATATACTGTATTCAGTATATGAATCATTATAGACATAATACTGTTAAAATAGTGTTTACAGTTACTACATACAACATTTTAATACTACAATATCATAACGACGTCATTAAAACTGACTAGTGTCATTACACTTACTGTTTGTGAGGTTAAAAAAGCCAGCCGAGGCAGCTGGTGTAGTATCAAATGTCACATATTGTGTCTGTCCGCTGTCTGGGTCGTTTATATTAAGGGTGTAAATGACAGTGCGTGAGGAGGTGGTTTCCAAAAACGAAACAGACGTCACAGAGTTGAGGACCAGGTTTGTGATAGTTGGTGCCGTGTTGAGGTCTAGAAAAAAATACACACTTTTAACACATGACTAATTAGTAAGATATTTCAGAAATCTAATGTAAAAGATTGAAGCATCGTTTCCTAAGAATTGATGGTCGGATATCAACTTTTTCCTGTATAATTACTCCAACATTTGTTATACAACAACAACAAAAGCTAAATGTGTCGTAAAGCTGTAACATTATACTATAATTGATACTCTCTATATCATAATCATATTATCATGATTTTACCTACAATAAATTTTATTTATTTCCGGTAATTTTTCTTATTGCCAATCAAAACATTTACTTAGTTAAAACCGACAGTGTGTAAAACTGTCAATCGGGATTGGAAATATAACGAGAAGTTACAGTTTTATGAATGCTTAGTGGAATGAAATTATCATTTATTTTATGATTTTAATCCAATTTCACAGCTTTAAAGACAATACGAGAATCTTTGTATAAACAGGTTACAGACTTGTAAGAGTAAGACTGAGTAGGGCAGATGTAGACAGCTTGTTGTCGGTAGCGGTCACATTTAGAACGTATACACTGGTTAACTCGGAGCTCAGGTCTCTGGTTGTCGTAATTTCTCCAGTGGCTAAACCGAGAAAGAAACATATATATATATATATTGTGTCGATCAATAACTCTTTTATTTTAGCATAATGTCAAAGCATTGCATTGGAATGTTGGAGCTATCGAATACTAGGATGTGTCCTAGAAGGACGAAACAGCTGTGTGATGTAACACCATTGACGAGTCGTAAAAGGACGAAACAGCTTTATGTTGTAACATCCTTGAAGCTGTATGATGTAGTTAAGTTCATTATTTAGCTATAATGTATCTAATTATGAATTAGTAGTGAATGGTGATGATATTCAATTACTTGTCTTTTGTATAGCTTTCGATAGCCATCACAGTAAAGAACCATCATCTGACCATACGAAACGTTGATTCATCCGTTTATATGACACTTGATAACTGGTTACCAACACCTTACTGTCAACAAATTTAAAGTCGAACGACAAGCAAAGCATATCATATACAAATTTCATCGAATAGGGTTCCCCATCTTTGCCTTACACTGGAGCCTCAAGCGAAGAAATGGAGCTTTAGGTAACAGACGTTTATGTATAATAATTATTTTGACAATGGTTCTTCTTAAGTAATTTCAGACACTCGCATCCATTCTAAATATTCTAATATAAACAACTTAAACCACTGATCTAGAATTTGTGTGTACTACATCATCGTTACCTGTGTTAATAGAAAAACTGTCTGTGGTCGGATCGGCCTCCATGCTGAAGTAGACCTGATCTTGATCTGCGTCCGTGGCGGTAACGGTGAAAAGACTTGTTGATGCTGCTGTGTTCTGTGCATCCGGATCAGGTGAAACCGCCCCTGTATAAAGATGTTTTTTTTTTATGTCCGTTTTACTGTTTAAGGAATGTTACCCTCAGATGTTTAATGGTTTGGAATATTCCTTCTCTATTTGTCATAATGCACGCTTCAATTTACTAGTATACTTCTAGTACATGTATTCCACTCTTTCAAATATATTTCTACTTTTGTCCGTTACCTGGGATATTGGTAAACTGCGGTGGACGATTTTCTATGACATCAACAACAAGAACAGCTGATCCGGAGGCCCCTTGTGGGGAGTCGACACAGGTGAAAGTCACATTATACGACTGTACCGATTGATAGTTGAATCCGGGGTTGGAGAGGATGTAGAGATTGTATGCTGTAAAAACAAAGTGATTCATGATTTACATAGTGCAATACCTGTTGTGACTTTAAGACACTGTCTTGAAACTATCATTAAGGTTTCAATTTATATTGACAAAAATAGCTATCTCATACCTTGGTGTAAATACAATTATGTAAACAGACGAAACATGGAATGACCTTCAAATGCATTGTGACGTCACGATAAAGCGGAAAACATTGCGAATAAAGTCTATTTTTTTTTTAAAAGCCGCTTGGTACATTAAACAAATGTACACAAAAACACCTTATCGCATACAAATTTAGAACTCGATATAAAAGAGCCAACTAGTATATGAAACTGCATTACGTTGCTGTTTCCTCCTTCTGGGAATCTTCGGTGATACAAGAGACAGAAAGTGAGGGGAAGCTTTGGAAGTATTTTAGGAAAATCTAAACTAGAAATATGCCAAATTTAAAGATGGAGGGAGTGTTTTTTTGAGTATTTAATAATTTCAATATTGTATTCAAAATAGAGAAGAGACTACAAACACTGAAGGGAAAAGTGAAGGAAACGATGAGGATTTGATTTTGAAGCAATGGAAATTTTCTTTGCAATATGCGAAACCTTCAAAGGAAGTACATTTACAGTACACGTTACGTTAAACTTACCTCCTGTTGTGCTATTTTTCCTGATGTCGAATTGTGAACCACTGGGAGCAACAGATATACTACACACAAAAGTGTTCAACTCTGCGTCCGTTACAGCAAGGGCCCATATATTGATCTCAGTATTTTGATTCTCCGAGACGGAGTAAATATCTGGTAATCCGGTGATGGCTGGAGCTGTGTTTCCGGTTACGTCGGCATATACAGTTCCGGAAGTGGTGCCGCCACTACTGTCAGAACATGTTATAGTTAACACATGTTGCGTTGCTACTGCAGTGTTTAGCTGTTGGTCGGCATTGTCGTCTAACCGTAGTATATACTCTGCGAAATAATAATATATAGAGTGGTAACCATGATAAGATTTTTCGTCATTTTCACTAATTAACATGCAGGCGAATTACACTTACTTTTACAGAACCTTTTGATATCTGCCTAGGGCAAAATTAACATGAATTCGCGTATGGTGGTAAAACATAACATGGTGTGAAACTGTGTCGGTATACCGTATCCGATCTCTGTTTACTAGGTACAAATAAAACAAATAAGGATATAACGAATAACCAAAATATCGAGAACCCGACCCCTCCCCCCCCCCACACACACACCCCAGCACTCCTTCCATTAAAAAAAAAACATTGAAATTAATCAACATCGATAATAAAGTGAAAGTCGGTATGGATATTGTCAACATACCCGATATAGTTACATTCTGCAAAATTGAGAACGGACCGGATGGTGACGACGTCACACTGCACGTGATGGCGTCTCCTTCGGGGTCAGACACAACTAACGTATGCAAATCTCGACCAGTAGTCTCGGTCTCGTCAACAGTTACCGTGACCGGAAGTCCAGTGATAACAGGGTCGGCGTTAGGAGATACATTGACAGTGAGTGTTTCTGTAGAGGAGCCATAATTATCTGAACACACTATAGGGATGGTATATTGTGGTGTGGTAGCCTGGTCAAGTCCTGCATTGGCATCAAGGTATACTGTAAAAATGCAAGTTAAAAGTAACATCATCATCATCATAAACTCTTCAAGAAGATAAAAGTTTACATGTTTTCTTTACAAAGACCGACCTGTCAACGTTTGAAAACAGGATATTAATATCAAACAGAGCCAAGATCAGATCCTGTTTGAAGTTGACAACCCTGAAAACCACTAGTGTTGAACTAGTATTAAAATTCAGTATTTGGGAATGGGGTGGGTAGGTGTTCGTATCTGACTTGTTGCAATAAATGAAAATTAAACTGCCATTATGATATCGGGATGAATGCTTTTGACCAGTGATTCTACAATTCGTAAAACGTAAAACGTCAATTTTACCACTTGGATAAAGCATGTCTTCCTTGCACTAGAATAACAAACAACTGTTTGATCGACCACGGAAATCAATTGAATTGTCACCACCTGAGAATATTTGGGACATTCATATGTATTGCATGGGAGAATGCCATAAATCTAATCGCATAGTTTTGTATTTAACCATGACACTAGTTCTATTAGAGTATATCAATTAGTTCAGTTATATATACGTGACAAGGATTCATAAAACGAATGATCGATTAATTGCAACATAATGCTACCAATATGTTTTGGTTTGATATAATGTACTACAAATGATAAAGCAGTATCAGATAAGGCTCGAAACACATGTAGCTGCATTAATATACCTTAATAATAGAATAGAAAAAGTGTCATCAACATACAATAAAAATGATATACAGCTGCAACAACCTGTTGTGTACATTAAAAATACATAAATCGGTCAAAAAGAAATACAAAGAAATACAATACCCAATACAACGAAAGCTGTTTTTATTAAAATTGACATTGATAGACAAATTTCTTTTTTTGGAAATTTGTTTCATAATTCTTTACAGTCATTATTGTTATGGTATGAAAGCTATGCGATATTTACTGAACATTTTAATTTTCAGCCGATATACATAGTAATGTATAGTGGTTTAAAATGGTTCAGTAAACAGTAAACACGATGTGGATGAATCAATAGGGAGGCAAGCAAACATACAGGTAAATCGTTCATCATTATCAATATACAGAGTAGACCATTGTTGCTGTGTAGTGGCAACACACAGAATGATATATATACCATAAATAGAACATACAATAAAACTATATATATATATATACCATGCGAAAAATAAATAGTGTTAACATCCCAGACAAAAATATACCCTGATACAGACAAACAGCACAAATACACATTATATAATGTAGTGAATACCCAATGTAAAAGAAGTTAAAGTGACAGCAGACATGTTGTTAAATATTTACACGTCAAAGCAATTCATAGAATGTTCCGGTACATTTCTATACATTTCACATGGATATTATAAATGCTTTCCAGGATTTTGTTCCAATTGGATTTTATTGATTTTAAATTTTAAGAATTAAAAACTATACCGGAAGTGCCATGTCCTATGGGACCTCATACCGGACTCTGTCCTATGGGACCTCTCAAAATTCAATGATGAAACCAACTTGTTACATGACCTTATTCACTTGCATTATTATACTCAATTTACTTACCATAGGTACCATACAGAATGCTGAAAGGTGCAGATGCAGGTGTCGTAGTTCCGATGATGCACGTGAAGGGATCGGCATCAGTCACAGTTATATTGTGAGCCAAAGTAGTTGTAGTAGTACCTTCGTTGATGGTAATGGAAGTCGGTAGACCGGAAATAGTAGGGGGCGTGTTAGGTAATATATTCACAGTGATGCTGTCTGTTGCTGCGTTGCCATTCTGATCAGTGCATACTATAGTCAGGGTATACACAGAGACTGTATCATACTCGAAGCCTGGGTTTGTGGACAGGTAGACGTTGTATACTGGAAAATAAACATTTAAATCTAAGCATTAATATACTGCCAAATAACATTGATTTATGTTTTGGAATTTCTGGATTACAATACTATGTAATTTCGTTAAGATAAACATCACACAAAGTATGGATGACTATTGTAATATGTGAACAATTTTGAAGTTAATATATTATTAATTGTGAAGATATATGAAACTCACGTGGTCAGTCTAAGATATAACTTCTTCATGTGGCTTTATATTGAAGGTTAACAATTAAAAAGGCAATTTATTAGAAAAACAATTCTTTTCTGTCAGAGGAGTCAACATCTCATGTATGGAAAATAGCCATTTAAAGTTTTTATAAGTAACATGTATCATTTTTCGATGTAATATCTATTTTACAAAACAAGTTTTCATTATAAAGTTATGGAAGGTTGTTTGGATAATTAAAAAAAAAAGTTAATTTTTATTGGAATTTACAAGCTCAAGACTGCAAAGCAACTGCAATTGAAAATTTGGAGGAGAAACAAAATCTCCGATGAAGTATTTAACAATGTTTGAGATTTAACTCTTGTGAGACATTCAGCTTTGATAGAGAATATGTATATAAGTTCTGGCATTTTTACATAAGAGTAATTGATCTCGAAGAAACAAAAGCAGATTGATATTGTCGGGTTCTTAGCATAAAGGAATATAAAAAATCCAGTCCAAACTCACGTAATTAATTCAAATGTGTGATTTGCAGTGATAAAAAATCATACAAACTTTTGCTGAATTCTATATTATACACTTAAACTGCTTCGCAAGATATTTAACAAAGTATAGAGAAAATATTTGAATTGTCAATGCTATCAACCGACCGGCGGCGGGAACGTCCACGCCAAAAATTGTAGTTCATAAGCAAACGTTTTACAAAAGTGTCATATAAAGCGATTTAACTTCATGATAGAAATAAGGATAGAAAAACACAATGGTCACATACGTGATAAATTTTATCATATATCACGAGCTCAAAGACTGCGTAAGGCGGATCATTGACTATATGTTTAATAATCATAGTGTAAGTAACAAAGAAAAAAAAACCTGAAAAAAACCAAAAAAATATCATTCAATGAATATTCACTAGCGTGGTAAATCGTACCCGTAAGAGATTGTTTAAACTACAATAACTGATAATAACCACAGGTTTGTTAATCTATGCTTTAGCACATATAAACTTTTAAAATACGTCTATGATACAATGTTTATTCTCTTCCTAGGTTAAACAAGTAAGGCCCCAGAGTCATTTTGCCGAGACCTAGAGGGACGAAACAGTTGTATGAAGCAGTTTCCTTCATTATTTAGCTCTACTGTAAAGATTGTGTTAACTTGACAGTAGCCTTTCACAAAACAATCAGATGATATTGTCTATTTTTTCAACTTGATTATCTATTGTAAGTTTTGAAGTATCCTTTGTGTCATGGAATAGAAAGCATGTGCTTATAAGTTTTGTCTATGTATATAACAATGTTATATAAGAGATTATATTGAGATGATAATGTATGAATCATGTCTGCAAACGACCTCTTAGTGCTCGGTACAGCTTCAGTCACCAGTATACCATCATGCATACAAATATCTTCATTTCTATATTGCTAAGATATTAAACATTCTTTTTTTTGTATTTCTTTTATTTTTGAAAAGTTTCATAATTTTTACAGATACTGACATGTGCAACACACTTTCCCATGCATCATCATCATCATCATCATCATCATCATCATTAAACCACAACATCCTCACTATCATTAAGAAATTCCTTTTGTCTCTATGTCTCCTGTTTTAATATAATAGTTTTAAAAATAATTATTTACGATCGTCCCACGAGAAAATCAAACAATTTATACTGATCGATGTGGTAAAAAGATGACATCGTCATACCGATTTCTTCTTAATAAAACTGTTTGTCACCATAGTACATGAACTGTTTTCTTTCATTTCCAGTCGAAATTGTATTGAAAATGGTCATTGAAGTCACATGAAAGGAAATTAATTCATTGGGTAAATACCAACCTGTTTTCATCTGAATGCAATGCAAATTATATGATGTGTACGTTTACATATTTCATATAAATAAACTATAAGAAGCTATTTCTGGGTACGATAAGAAGAAAAAATAAGCCTTACATGAATCTGGAATCAGTCCAACGTTTGTTACATATTAATGATATACTGCGTTCGCTACCTATTAATGATATACTACCTTTGTTATATATTAATGATATACTACCTTTGTTATATATTAATGATATACTACCTTTGTTATATATTAATGATATACTACCTTCGTTATATATTAATGATATACTACCTTTGATATATATTAATGATATACTGCGTTCGCTACCTATTAATGATATACTACCTTTGTTATATATTAATGATATACTACCTTCGTTATATATTGATGATATGATACCTTCGTTACAAATTAATGATATAATATATTAATTATATACTACCTTCGTTATATACATGTACATGTATTTTTAAGGAGGCCTCTATGTATATCATTCTTTTGTTTATATTTTGCCATAATTTTATTGAATTTGAACACTGAAATTTGAAAATTAGATGTCTGTTGACATATTTCTCTGTTGTTTTTATGTACCTGTTATTGTGTTTATCAGCTTTATCATAATTAAACTCTTGCTAAGATTTTGTTTGTTTGTTGATTTGACCATATGTTTGTACATATGTGTAATTAAGATATATAATCACCATGTATTGACTGTGAAAGGTATATTCAACTATTCTATATAACATAGCTCATGCAGATGTTCCTTACTCCGATATGTACAGAGTTCAAAATATTAGGTCAGTGCCAATGTCTTTAAAGTTGTACTCTTAACTAACCGTTCACATAAAAGTACGTCATAGCGTCCTGAGTAGTATTGTACCGTTGGTTTGTTTGTGAAGTATTTAAATGTTACTTCGTGATAACAGTTAAGGTCAGACAGAAAAAATGAGAAATTGAAAACTATCGATCCCATGCTCATAAGATATAATAATCCTGTCTTATCATTAATAGTGCGTCACTTAATATTTGTATAACATAGCATTGGTTACTGTAACATGGGTAGTACTCAACAATTATAATCTGTCTAACAGGTCGATGGGACTGTAATAGTACATTGGTAGTACCCCACAATTAAAACGACCAACGGTATCACAAAACAGTGTTTAATTTTATAGTATCAAAGTAAAACTTCTATCTCAACTCTATACTTAATATCTATTTCTATTGTAATCAAAATATAATGAATAGGGACATTACTACGTCTAAGGACACTCGCACCCATGTGAAGTGTTAATATCTCTTGCTATTTCAATACTTTCATATCATCATGGTTTTATCTCAATAAGGTGATCAAATTTATTGACGTCATCAGTCATTGTCTTCACATTGATGGGATAATATATTAAATATATCTTAAATGCTTCGTGTTGTATCACTTAAACACTTTGATAATTATTTGATTTTGCGTTCAGATTACTACATAAGGTATTAACAACGATACTCTACACAATCCTTATGTAAGATACAGAAAACACCCAAAGACTAAAATTTCATCGAATTCATATTTTTCTTTGATCAAAACGAACGAGCTGTTTATTTATTTATTTCTTGTTAATTTTAATCTATCTTCTTTCTTGATAACAAATAACAACTCGAATAATAGCACTAATGACTAAAACGATACTTACTGTGAATTAAAAAGTAAAATAGGCTACAAATTTTGAAAACGTAAGTTATCATAGTACCACATGTTGAAGATTAAAGTGATTTTCCTACTTCAAACTATGGGGAAAGAGAGACACAAAACATGAAATGTAAAATGAAAAAAATCATAATCACTTTAATAGCAGAAGATATACCGCCGAATTACCAAACATAAATATTAAAAATACATAAATACATATATGAACATATGTAACAGGCGTTAGCAAACAGAGAAGTAAATTTTATTGATAAAATATTCTAAACTAAAAAAAGGACACAAAAAACTCACTTACCCCCAGAATTGTCGATAAGGGTGAATCCTGTGACAGCGGGCGTTAGTTGACAGGTGTAGCTTTCACCTTCCGGTTCTGTAACTGCTAAAGTAAGTAAACTGTCCGCTACCGCAGTTGATCCTACAGCGCTTTCCATCACACTTACAGAAGCAGGCAAATTATCCAGTGTTGGATAATTGTTGCTGATGACGTCGACCGTTAGAACTCCGGATGTCGAGTCAGTGGAATCTGAGCACGTGACTGTTACAGTAAAGGACGTGACACCTGCAGCCACGATAGCAACGTTGGAGTTAGCATCCAGATAAACCTTGTATTCTGAAAGATGGAAAAGCATTTCAGTAAATATTTTCTCCGTTTTTCACATTTTACAGTTAACTTGCAAAACTTGTCATTTGATCATATCTCTATACATTACAATGGCTGTTATATCAGCAACAGGCAACATACCCGGAATTAACACATCCTGGATCATTGAGAAAGGGCCGTTTGGTGTGGATGCCACACTACATGTAACAGTCTGTCCATCTGAATCCGCAACTATAACTGTTTTAAGTGATCTCGTTGCCGTTTCAATGTTGGTGACAGAAACTGTTGCAGGAAGTCCAGTTATTACAGGGGCATTATTAGGGGTGACGGTGACTTCTAACACGCCACTCGATTGGCCGAATGCGTCTGAACACGTGACTGTGATGCTATATGATGGTGTCGTCGCATGATTTAACGATGGATTATCGTTCAGATGAATAGAATAAACTGAAAGGTGAAAAAATGTACATGAAATTTCAACCTGGAAAACACATATTTACATTTTTATGGTCATTGAGTTTTGTTATGCAGATTGCTTTACATGTAACCAGTTAATGAGAATAAGTTACAAAATACACTGCTAAATTCTGAGTACCTTACTGAGACTATCAAATAAGATTTATCAACCCAATGCATCTTTAGTGGGCTTACCTGCTCCGCTTGACTGAAGATTGAACGGATCGCTGGTAGGTGAAATCGCACACGTGAACATATTCGTCTCAGCATCAGAAACAGATATTGTGTATACAAGTCTAGTGACAGTTTCTCCTTCTAACACATTCTCAAATGCCGGCATACCAGTGATAGTCGGAGGTGTGTTGGGTAGTATATTAACAGTGATGTCACCTGAGCCAGTTTCCGAGTTGGAGTCAGTACATGTTATTGTCACTGTATACAGATTCACAGTGTCGTGTTCAAAACCAGGGTTCGATGTCATGTAGAAATTATAATCTGAAAAAGGTTTGATGTTGAAGACGATTATCTACTTAATTCATTAAAGCAAGACCTTTGATCAATCGTGAATTAATGTCTTTCCTCTTGTTCTGGAATGGACTATTTTTAACATATTAAAGTGAATATCTTGTTAAGTAAAACTGTAGACAAATGTGTATTTTATAACAATGCTGATTTCAGAATAGCTTTATATATATATATAATGTAATAATTATATCTTATATCCTTTTCATCAACAGCAATTACACATCGATACCTGATGTAAGTAGGCTCCCACAATAAGGAAATACATTATGTATACCAAAGGAACCGCGCAATCTTCACCAATATCAATAATATAATTTTGAAAACAAGGGGAATTAGGCACAAATTCAATGAGCAGTAGAGCATATTCTATGTGATGGAAATTTCAAAGCTTCTGGTGTACTACGGAATAGAATATCGATTTGAAAGGAGGCAAAAACTAAGCACAACTATGAAATAGATTCAGTCATTACGGTTAAAAACCTGTTACCTAAGATTTCCGCACAACAACCGATAAGAGACTGATACTGAGGGCTACATCTGGTAAATGCAGAGAGGTAGAGGCAGGGAAAACAGACATTGAGTGGATCATTCAGCTTATATTTCAATGGAAAGGAAAAATCGGTCACTTAATTCTCGAGACTCCAGGGGTTACGATAATTGTTTAAGAACATTTTTGCTCTCTGCAGCCTTGGCACATGTCGTTGCAACATTGATGGTTCCATGTGCGACACCTCGTGGACAAGACGAAAAGACTAGTTTGATCCTTTGATGTACATCAAACGAATCTCGAGGTCGCATAAAGGTATGTTGTGCTGGCTTTGATGTTAGATGTCGCTCCTTTATAATCATTAAAAGGATCTATCAACCTGTGATTAGTCTTTTTTGTCCTGGAACCAATCAGATTACGTCGCTTGTACCTTCAATTTGGCAATGACATGTTCCAGGGGTGCAGCGAGCGAAAGTGATTGCAACCCGTAGAGAATCGAGGATGTAGTCACTGTGAAGACAAGGATTGAGAGAAACTATCTAGGGAACAGCAGGCGGTAGTGTCCAGCCGAATTATCACTGACGATACCAAGATAGAAAACAACACAGAGAATATTCAAAGGCAACGGATTCTAAATTCAAACTCAAATTCGATAAAACTGGAGAAAATGCACAGATCCCCTAACGATGTTTTGTGATAATTAGACTGATAATGTAGGTGATCCAAAAGGGTACGCGTCTCCCGCCTCATTGTCGACATCCGCAATGTTAATCAAAGTAGGTAATGTCATATTAAAAAATGATAACACTAGGCATACTAATGAGTATCTCATCCATTTTCACATCTCCCAAAGTAGAACTTTCCATAGGAGAAACGTTTCCTTCTTTATCAAAGACATCCCTCATGTAGATCAAAGTAAGTGATGCCACTTTTTCGAATGAGAAAC